TGGATTGGGAAATGGGTTTGGGACGGTGGGCTGCTTGAATTTGCAACACATGAGGGCCTAACATGGTTTTATTCAAAACGGGTTTAGGGAATATTGGCTATGAATTAAAATTTTGACCGAATTGAATGATACATTACATTGAGAATTTAGCCAATGTATTTGGACTGTAGCCAAATTGAATTCATTTACTAAATTCTGTTAATGGTTAAATAAGAGGAAATAACATAAATTAATTATGGAGGTTCTTAATCTTAACGAAATAAAATAATCGGTTAAGTTATAAACTAATTAATACAAAAGTGTAAGCTATTATATAACTAAACTAAGTAGTTAAATATGTAAACAAATAAAATATTTTAGAGATCATTTTTGAATATTTATAAAATATGATAATTAAATACGTAATTATGTAAAACATATACATTAGCCAAGAAATTGCAATAGTTACACCTTATTAAATATAACTTCCCAGCTATTATTTTTTGAATTTACAACATTAATTATTTTAAATTGTTTACAATCGAATAAGCTCGAGGATTAATCGTTATCCGTGAGGGTGAAAATTGGGTATCAACAACTGTCCCTCATTTTATTTGGATTGATGCAAAAAATTTGAGGAAAATGAAGTTGACGAAACCAATTATGACTGACCTTATATTCATCTTTAGAAAAGGGTTTTGGTGCAAAATTTAGGAGTTAAAGTCAAAACCCAGAGATGGGTTACCTACATATCTCAAGCTATACGAGAATTTAGGTCACTTATAGTTCGGTACACTTGATTTAACACACGATTATGAAAGATTTCAAAACTTATCCCGATGCAGAATAATAAAGGGACCGGAATGCTAAGGAAAAATATTTAAGAGTGAATGTTGGAACACAACCGAGTCTTCAACATTGAGCCCACCTACATATCCTTGTATCTCAAGAATCAGGTTGTTTGTAGTTCAACTTGATCGGTTGAAAAGGAAATCTACTATGCTAGATAACCATTGGTTCTGGAAAAATGACAAGATAAATCGAGTATGAAAACGAGGTTTGTAACAACTTAGCCATGAATGTGACGCACTTAACCCATAACTAAGAACCTACACAGACATAATTTCCAAAGCTCTTGGTGTATGTCACTTCGATTGGATTGCTTCTTCCGGTAGATACAAAAATTTCTGCATGCAAAACTTATACCAAGAAACTTAAGAAAAACCTACAAGCCTTAAGATCAGGGTGTCTTTGATTGTGGTGGAAGTCGCTTCTCTTCTCGCGTCTTATGAGTTTGACACTCCTGTTTGGACTATGTCCCAGTTTGCTGCTAAGACAAAGTTTCACGTTGTGCTGCATCCTTTTTGGCATTGTCCACACCTGTGGTTTGTTTTTGAGAATTCATACTTTCGGATGCTCTCAACATAGACTGAGATAAAACTCATTAGCATAAAAAAGCAATCCAAATGGAAGACACTGTCTTTTACTGTGTTGACACTTAATTATTTCCGTTCAACATTTGATGCCAACTCCATTGGGTTTAACATAAAAGCAAATAAAGCTTATATATTATATTTGCAATATAATCTTCAATGTACTCTTCTTTTGATATGAAGTAATAAGAAATAGATTGATGTAATATGTTAATGGTTCTCTTGATGTCTTTTTTGCAAATGAAAATAATAATGAAGATTCTTCATTTGTAAGATGACAATAATCCATTGGTAGGACGATGCCAATCCATTGGTAGGATAATGCTACTACATGATAAGAGAATGATAACACTACATCTATAGTATGATGATTCTTTATTGATAGGATGACGATAACGATAGGACAATGAGGTTGCTCCATCGATAGGATGATGATGATGATACTCTATCGATAGAATGATGATTATTCATTGATAGGATGACAATAATGTTGATCCACCGGTAGGATAAAATAGTGATCCATCGATATGATAATGTTGATTCATGTGTAACATAATAATAATTATCCATTGGTAGGATAATGCTAATATCCGTTGGTGGGATGATATTTATCCATTGATAAGATAATGATAATGATCCATTAATAAGATAACGATGATAAGAATCCATCGTGGGATGATATTGATCCAGACATAGGATAATAATAATGATTCATTAGTAGGATGACGAAAATGAATATCCATCGTGAGATTATATTGATCCATATGTAGGATAATGATAATGATTCCTTGATAGGAGGATAATAAAGATAAATTGATAGGATAACGATGATGAAGATGATAAATATTTATTGGTAGGATGATGCAAATAATAATCTGTAGGTAAAAGGATGACGATACATTGGTAGGATAGTGATCATGATCCATGGGAAGGATAATGTTGATGAAAATCCATTGGTAGGATGATGATAATAAATATGCTAAAGATTCATCGATAGGATGATGTTTATCCGATGATAGGATGATGTCTATCAATATCTAGCAAAGCTGATTCTTCACAAAGAAACATATATGATATTTTCCATATCTTCTTAGTGCCACCATCGTCTTAATTGACAACACAAATAAAAATGACCCTCAGTGTAGTGGTATCATCTCATTCAACAATACAATATAAATGACTCTTTGGATAAAGATAACGTCCTCCAGGTATCTTTATCTGATGGATAATAGTAAATTGTCTTTCGTCTGGATTTTAAGTTATTTCATCTCTTAACATAGTTGCACGTTCATTATGGATTTCATGTTGGTGGGAATTGAAAGGAATAATGTTATTTTTATTCCCAAATTGTTGGTATAAGCAACATAAAATCTTTACCACACAGAAAAAATTTACAATTTTGGGAACTCTTCACCCTTTTGACTTCTCCATTATAAACCTGCATCCAAAGAAAAATTGTTAGTCTTAAAATGAATTGATATTTGTTGATCGCTTCGATCATCTGCTCCTTGTCCTGCTATCTTCGGTTGATTGTTCTAATCTCCCATCTCTTGATTGGTAAGACAAAATATTTTTATGGAAAAAATAATTGAAAAATGAAGGAAAGTTTTTATCAAAATTGGTTTTTCAGAAGGTAGCATTTAGGACAAAGTCACTGCCAAGTGTCATTTCACATCAAGCTTAATTAAACTCTTTGAAGTATATATATCGAGGTCTATCTTTTTACTTTTTGGAAATGTTCAAAGTTTCTCTAACTGCCAATAAATCCTGTCAAAATTTTGAAGTCATCCTTAAAATTTTTGTCCCAATTTTCAGTCTTCGCTTATCTTTAACTGTTGGTGAGAAAATTACGGAATTTTTGAGAACTTCTCCAAAAATCTGTCGCAGTTGAGAATCTGAAAGTAAATTCAGTCTCGACTTTGTTGGAGGGATATTATTCTTGATAATTTTTTAGTCCTTCTAAAAAATTATATCCCAGTTCTAGCGTAAAGAGAAATAGAAATCTTACAAGAGGTATGACCGAACCGTTGTGGCGCCTTCGTATCCTATTGAGGCAGAAATTAGGTCAAACGAAAATCCCCCACAAAGTTTAACAATACTAAGAAA